AAATATATGTTGGTCGAGCTCAGAAAAAAGTAGAAAGACAAACAGAGCTGAAGCGCAAATTTGAACAAATGAAGCAGGACAGGATCACCAGATACCAGGTAGGATGTTAACTGAATATTTGGGGGAGGAAAGGTTTATTGGTGTGGGGGGTGGTTCTTGTTTTTATTAAGCATTATGTGGTTTTTATATGCTATTTTATGTTGTGAACTGCCCTGAAATCTACAGGTGAGGAGTGGTATACAAATTAAATAAAAACAAAAACAAAAATTATTTTCACTGGGTTATATGTTCTGCATACTGATCACTTCACCTACTCAATATTTCAGGGTGTAAACCTTTATGTGAAAAACCTCGATGATGGAATTGATGATGAGCGCCTACGCAAAGAATTTTCACCATTTGGCACCATCACTAGTGCAAAGGTAAATGGCATTTTAATCGGCTTTTAGAGTGACTTGTAGGGAGAGCAACTATCAAGAATTGTTTTTAGTGGTACTTTAAAATTACAAGCTCATTGCATCTACTTGAAAGTAGATGCAATACAGTAGACTACAATAAATTCTATATATACATACAGATTTGTCTGCAGCAGAACAAAAGCTACGCTGTTAGACTTTCAAAAGCTGTTGATCGGCATTTATTTTAAAACTTCAGAGAAATGATTGTAGAGCCAGGTTTCACTGTTGTGAACAAAAAGGCACATTCTGTCTACAGGAGGCTTTTGATTATTCCACTGTGGAAAAGTGGAAAGTGAGTTTTGTTGATTCTTCCCTCCTCTCTCAGCACCATATCCTACACCTTAACCATCCAAAGCGGGGGATTTTGAGGGGGATGGGGGAATCTGCAAAAGTTTCCTTAATTCTGCTGAGAGAGGCATCACCTGAATGAAAATTCCTAGGTATGCTTCTGGCAGCAAAAAGAAACCTAACACATGATTAATTAGTTAGATTATGTTCAGTCACAAGCTGCAATAGAATATAATGAAATAACATTGTTCAGTGTTCTCTACGTTGCATTTTTACGGTTGCATTTTTATTTTATTTTTACAGGTTATGATGGAAGGGGGCCGCAGTAAAGGATTTGGGTTTGTCTGCTTTTCTTCACCAGAAGAAGCAACCAAAGCAGTCACAGAAATGAATGGTAGAATTGTGGCCACCAAACCACTTTATGTAGCCTTAGCCCAACGTAAAGAAGAACGCCAAGCTCACCTCACCAACCAGTACATGCAGAGAATGGCAAGTGTGAGAGCAGTGCCGAATCCAGTCATCAACCCGTACCAGCCAGCGCCTCCTTCAGGTTATGTCATGGCAGCTATTCCACAGGTATGACTTACACTGTGTTCCCTATTACATTTACTCTTATATTTACTGAGTACAAACGCATACGGTTGCAGTGGACTTACTAGACACATGGTGTGTATTAAATGAGCTATGAGTGTAAAGATTTAAAAAGCCCAGATTCTTCTTCTATAATAAAGAATAATGAGGCATTTTAATTTGAATGGAATAACTGCTAATTCCCTAAAGCATTTTTTTCTGGTACAGCAAAGCACTGAAGCTGACGAATGAAACAAATACATTATTATTTTTTGACAGATGCAAAACCGTGCTGCATACTATCCTACTAGCCAAATTGCTCAGCTCAGACAAAGTCCTCGCTGGACTACTCAGGGTGCCAGACCTCATCGTAAGTGACTTGCTTTTCTTAGGGATTGGGGGGGGGAGGTTTGGATTTGACCAAAGCTTGATTTGTGTTGGTTCAGAAATGCATACTTACTGTGAATTAATTTCAAATGCAGCTTTCCAGAACATGCCAAGTGCCATCCGCCCAGCAGCTCCCAGACCACCATTCAGTACCATGAGGCCAGCTTCATCACAGGTTCCACGAGTAATGTCAACACAGCGTGTTGGTGAGTTCTGGAGATCAGTTAATTTAAGTATACTGGCTTGATTTGGCATGCTATTAATTGTCTGAAAATTGAAATGTAATGTGTTTTTAAAAGTGTCTTAAGCTAGACTGTGAAAGGAGGTTTGCCAAAACAGTTTGAATAGAATATGCTGCTTGGCCTGAAAACAGTCTTTTTTTCCAGCAAACACATCAACACAGACAATGGGTCCACGTCCAGCTGCTGCTGCCGCCGCTGCTACTCCAGCCGTACGCACGGTTCCTCAGTACAAGTATGCGGCAGGTGTTCGCAATCCTCAGCAACACCTTAATACACAACCTCAGGTTGCTATGCAGCAGGTAAGCGTAACAGTTACAGCAGCTTTTTTGTATGGGGTCAGTTATATTAATAACCTGAGCACTTGCAGAGTTGGACATGCCTGAGCCTATTGAAAACAATAGGGTTAGGTGGACTTGTATGGGGTTAGAAATAATTTTTCTGAGTGACATTCATGCGAATGTAACTTGGAACGTACTACGCAAATGATGTACTCCATTTTAATCCTGTTAAATCTTTTCAAATTCTAGCCTGCTGTCCATGTCCAAGGTCAAGAACCTTTGACTGCTTCCATGTTGGCTTCTGCCCCTCCACAGGAACAAAAGCAGATGTTGGGTAAGTCCGTATTTGGAGGAGAGGTGGGGCTCATGTGGTAAGAGTTGGAGTGTCCGTGCATGGGGGAGGACAGATAGCAGCAGCACCATTTGGCATGTCTTCCTGAGAAGTCCAAAAAGTTAGGGCTGAGTCCAGTGACCCACGAGGGCTGGGGAAGTAGCTGCTGCTGCTTCCTCCAAATAGTTGCACACACAGTGATAGGTGGTCTGTTCAGCAGTTCTTATTTTTCCACTTCTGCACAAGCAGAAATCATCTTTGGTTATAGTTTTGTTTTTCTTATGTATTGATCCCAGTGTAAGTGTGCTTTTGGATCCAACCCTGCAGGGCCAGGATTTCTAGAAATGTGGCTCCCACTGGGATTGCTTAGGAAAAGTGGGTCCACTACTGAGGGCCCAGTTAACTCTGAAGGGAAGTTGTGCAGAGAAAAGAGGGTATGGGAGTGGGAGAAAGAATAAATCTGAAGAGTTTAGAAGCTGGGTGAGTGAACTCCCTGAGTGTGTTAGGGTGGAAGAAGGTATAATTGGAGAAAGGGATGTGATGGGCATCTACTATTAGGATCTGAGTTTTAACCATAAATGTCTGCTTGGCTAATTATTATAGTTTTCCAGTTCTAGTAACTTAGTTGGGTTTATTCTTTTAAAAAAACTTCTGCCATTCGGCTAAAGGGGTAAAAAAATACTGATATGTAGATGGCTAACGTATTCATTTTGAGGCAAGTTAAAAGGAAATCTATTTGGAATAGTATTAAGAGGCAAATATAAACCTTGCAAACTTGTCAACTGTTTTCTAGGAGAACGTCTTTTCCCTCTTATTCACGCCATGCACCCTACTCTGGCGGGTAAAATCACTGGTATGTTGTTAGAGATTGACAATTCTGAACTCCTCCATATGCTTGAGTCTCCTGAATCTCTTCGTTCGAAGGTAGGTAGATTCTTTTGTCAACGGTATTTTTTTCCTTTAAGTGCTGCTTATCTTGTAAACTAGCTTGCCTTTACAGAAATGTTAATAACATTGTTTTTATCTTAACTAGGTTGATGAAGCTGTAGCCGTACTGCAAGCCCACCAAGCTAAGGAAGCTGCTCAAAAAGCAGTTAACAATCCAGCGGGTGTTCCAAGTGTCTAATGTAAGTATTCTGGAGAAATGGCTTCAAATGCAGGTATAGATGCACCTGTGTGTGTGAAAACATCTGTGACAGTCGTAGGGACTGGTAACTTAGCAAATGGAAAAGATGTTAGCTGAATGTTTGCCCTTGTGCAGCGTTATTGACTATAGGTTGGGTGATATCCATACCGAGTGTAAACCACTAAAATCCATGAAACTTAAGTCTGTTGATTTCAGCGGGCCTCGAGTATGACATTTTGGCAATTATCCTGGTGACACTTCACACCATACTGTACAAAAAATCAGGACTGTGGAAGTTACCTAGCATGCAAAAAAGAAGTAAAGGAATTTATTTCCGTTATTTCTCATATCTTTGTCCAAGTAACTTTGGTGCAAAAATGCAATTCTAATGCATGATGTCTGTGGGCTGACACAGTTTTATCAGTTCCCTCTTGATAAAAAGATTAAGCAAGCTCATGGCATGTACCATATTACACCTGATCCTGGTCAGAGTATGCTGTTTGGTTTTAGTAATATTTAATATAATACAAATCTGTTTTTCTAAAGGAAATATATTTCAGTATTAATATTTTAATTCTTTTGGTTACAGAAGATCCGGGACTACGCATTATAATTTCGCTTCACCGAAGAAAAATATCTAAACATGGAAAAACTACTAAATATTGAGAAAAACATTGCAAAATATAAAATAAATAAAAAAAGGAAAGGAAACTTTGAAGCTTATGTACACAACAAATGCCAGGACTAGCAAAACTGTTGGTCCTAGATTACCTATTGATTTAAAATACAAAAAAATAGCAAAAGTTAAAAAAACAAATTAATGTTTTATAAACCCAGGAAAAGAATTTTCAGCACAGTACAAAAATTTAAAGCATTCCTTTCTTTAATTTTGTAATTTACTGTGGAAAACGCTCAGAATATCACTACTGTTGTAGTTAACAGTAGGAATTGATAGCTGAGCAAAGAACCATAATTTGGATTATAAGATTCTTGCTTTAATAAAAATTCCTTAAACACTGATCTAATTGCGATTTTATTTCTACACTTCTAATGAGATGTCAACAATAGAGTTTGGATGTAGATACACAGCAAATTCAGTTGTGGATGAGATTAACCTACATTGAGCCACCTGTTAATGGGGTATCTGTAAGAACTAAAATGGATGAACAACTGGATTTATCTCTTGTAGCTTAAAATTCTTGGCAGCATTTTCTAGAGCTAAATATTGTAGTGAAATTTAAATAGAAATAATGTGTTTTTATGTATCTTTCTGTTGAGCTGGGGGCAAAATGAAGTTAATTAAATATGAATAGGCTTGGATTAAGCTTGGAAATCAAAATACATAATTTTAATGGTACATTCAAAGGCCCAACAAAAAGGAGCGAGCAGAGTAGATTTGGGGAGTAGGCGGACAAGATATGTTAACAATCAGTAATGGAGTGAATAGAACCGTGCTTGCGTTTTGTTGCAAATCAACATGGTCCAGCTGTCATATATTACTATTAGGTATGCAGTTTACATGTATGCTTCAGGACCCACATGCAATCCTGACACTCAGTTCTAGGGATCTTTTGATAGAGAACAACACACTCCAGTGTTCATCACCTATAAAATTAACAGGCAGCAGAAATTAGAAGGGAATTAAGCTTATTGTCTCAAAAGGGAAGTAGCACATTTACTAAAAAATATTAAGCAATAAAGCAGCACACTAAATATAGTCTGATCTTAGCAGAGTTAAAACCAGTACAAGTAATTGTTAGAAACATTCCTAGGAACACATGAGAAAAAACAATGTGGTCAGGGAAAGGGAGTGGAATTGAATGGGGTGGAAGGAGGTTTGGCTGAAGGGCAGAAAGTGGTATTGCAAGAGAAAAATGGATGCTGATAAGAACTGGTTGCTTTTAAAAAGAATTAAGAGTTTGCGGAGTAAGGTCTTGGCATATATGGCAGGCATGGCCAAACATGGCCCTCCAGGGGACTACAATTCCCATCATCCCTGACCACTGGTCCAGTTGTAGTCCCAAAGCAGCTGGAGGGCCAAGTTTGGCCGTGCCTGGCATATGGAGTTAAAATGCTGGCAATTCTGATTCACTGCTAGGAAGCTTGGAGGTTTCTCTGCCCTTCGCTTGCAGGTATATCTCTACAATGCAAGCTGAGTTGCAACCCAACTCTTGTAAAATAAGAAAGGTCTGGTTAGTGGGCTTTGGGGAAAGTTTTTAGCTGAAAATCAAAGGCTTTGGGGCAATGGTTGAAAGTAATGAGGTTAGTGAGATCTGAGATTTTGAGGTGAGAAAACAGGAATGAATGAGCACAACAAGGAAAAGAAAATGAGTCTCTCCAAGAAAGGATCTCTGATTGAGTTTCAGACAAGTTGCGGACGTTGGACAGCTGGACCTGAGAGCAAGTGTAATACAATAAGCCTGTAACTTGCACACATTCAGCTTTATGCGCTTGTCCCAAAAATAAAAAGGGTGTTGGGGGGGGACCTTTGTTCCAATGGCGGGTGGGACTGCCAGCGTGTTTTGACCATGTGCAATTTTGGCTTTAGGTGTGATCCCTGCAACATAACCCTCGCATAACTTGGGGGCTTACTGTACCTTATTCTGCAAGGCTGGGGTTGAGTGTGTTGGAGGTGAGAGTACCTATTGAACAAGAAAGGGGAGGCGCTTACAGGAAAGTTCATTGGTACAGATGATATATTTTGATATCTGAAACTAGTGCTTATCTGTTAGTCGTTTTAAAAAACCCAACCCTGATGACAGATAAGGGAAGGAGTGGTGTTTGGTGACCCTATTATGTGCTGTTCCTGAAGGAGTGTGACACAAAGGATTTCCAAGGGGGGGAGAGAGACAGGATTCATTTGGCTCCTTGACATAAAAGTGCAGTCCTGCACATGACTGACCTCTACAGACATTACTTTAGTTGCTACCACATGCCAGGATGGTTTTTCTGACCCACCACCTCAATTTTCAAGGTTCAGGAGCGAGTTCCATTGCTGAAATAGCCAGTGTGACACCGTCCATGCCTAAGAGGGAGATATCAATAGGTTTGAGAGGGAGGCCCCAAGGCTAGGGGACCCTGCCAAAAAAAGAGCCCAGTGACGGCTGGAGCATGTGTGTTGGGCGTGGTGAGGAATGATCAAATACAAAAGGACTGCTCATTTCAGCAGCACAGTATGTAGTTAGCAGATTGAGAAGAAAATACATAACACCGAAACCTAAAATGGACTTCTAAGTGTTTACAGGGATAAAAACCATTTACACAAACATTACAGTATAAATGTCCATAATTAAAATACACAGGATAAGTGCATGCTCTTAGAATTCTAAGAGTAGGCATGGACATTTTATCCTTCAACAATGGCTAACAATGCAGACCACGTTTGTTAGGAAGCAATCCCCATTGAGTTCAAATGAACTTAACTCCCAGGTAAGTGCACATAAAATATATAGATTTTGAACTGGAGAGGGGGAGCATCTCAAAATGACCTTCGAGATTAAAATCAACTGTAAGGGAAAGGATTATCTGAGGTTCCATTGTACTGTAATATACCATTCGTCCTGTAGTGATGAGTGATCACCAAAGAAGAAAAAAGTTTTTGCAACACTTTATCTTCTAAACAACCTGTTAGAACATGTACCTTATAACTTCAAGTTTGGTCCATTTTGCTATAGGGTTCTATCCTGCGTCTTTTTCCCCTGTGTATATATTGACATCTGAATGAGTACAATAACTGTTTAGAGGAAGCTCAGGATCAGGATTCCATTTGGGCACAGGCTACCGTTAGAGAACTGTAGGGAGTAGAATGGTTGCAGTTAAACCCTGGGTCTTTGGCTTGTGCTGCTGTAAAAGCCAATCCCGGTTAGAGGCGAATGCCTCCCTGGGTCTGTACCCACCCCACTTCCCAGTGCCCTGCAAATAAAATAAGGCTGCTTTTCTGGTGAACATTCAATGTTTTCTAGATCAGTTTGCAGGGCTCGGGTAAACCATGGATATGAGATCGTTTCCTGTGAGTAGCTGACTCACAGGAGTATTCTTGTAAGTCATTTGTATGTCAAGGAACAAGGGTGCTGATAAAGCCTTCAGAATAATTCCTTGGAATTAGTCACATGAACAAACACACAATGTAGTGCAAATTTGAAGGTCCCAGGGTTGGCACGCAGCGCCTTGTACGAGAGTCTATCTGCCACTGGGTGGTGCTATCCCAGAAATTTCCATATAGGTATATTTGGGATTTTAAAAAAATAACTGCTGCTTTGTCACCTGTATGCTTCTACACTTGAGATGTGCTTTTTAATTTATAGCGCAGAACTATCCCGAGCTGTCAGGAAGATCCTTGACAAGATCTACCTACACATGAAACCCTTGCTCAATTTTGAATCTGTCTGAGCTGAGCTCATTTCATATTCTTGCACTATTGTATGACATGGGCGGTTTGCACTATGCAATGGTATCCGTGGTTTTCCTTTCTCCTTTGTTTTCTTCCATCACCAAAGTGTGAGAATGCTGAGCTGAGAAAGAATTATGTAGCCTTGCTTGTTGCAAGTAGAAATCAGACTTTGAGGCCAATGGATATGGTTTGGCAGGGAGTTCAGATAAGAAAATGTGCCAAGACTTGGCCCTTGGGCTGGCTGGGAGCCGTGCATAATTTGCAGGGCAGATTGCTCGATCCAAAGAATGGAGGATAAGGAAAATAGCCAGCGATAGTATTCTACAAATGCTTGTGTAAGCAATAGTAGAACAGTTGATGCAATGTTGGAATAGGCAAAGCTCTGGCAGCTCTCATGCTTCCCCTTGCACATGATTTTCAGAAATGCAATAATATATTTTGGATTTAGGCTGTGCACACACTATATATTTAAGGTGCATTCTTTGCCTCTAAAAATTCTGATCATTGTCGTTTGCAGGGAACTTGCAATTCTGTGAGGCGTAAACTAAGACGCCCAGAATTCATTGAGGGAAATGTGTGTATACACAGCCTTAGTTTCCCTTTTGTCATACAACACTTAATTTTTTTTAAAAAATTAAATATTTTTTAAAAATAAGTCCCTCTGTGATTCAAAGACACTGACATATAGAAAGGCTCCTCTGGATCCAATATAAATCCTGCTAATAAACAGAAGTGACTAACAGTGTTTCTTTTCAGAAATACTTCTTTCTCCAATTATACCTTAGTTAGGATTTTGAAACAGGAGAGGATGGACTTACAATGTAAATGTGGGGAAATTTTCTTAAGGTTTTAAGTTTAAGGCTGACGGGGGGGGGGACAACAGAGGGGAATGTTTGAAGAACTAAGACACATTTTTTAAGATAATAGTTTTGAATTCTACTTGGAGGTCCAGCAAACCATAATTTGCTTTGCGGCTTTTAAAAAAATATGTCCTATTCATGTCCCATTATCTCTGCAGTCACATACAGTATATGGGTTCTTGGCTTGCACCCCAGTGTAGATGCTGTTTATTGGCACATCACATTGCAAAAGCAATGAATGCACATTAAGATGAATGATAGAGACATAGAATTTTAGAGTTGGAAGGGACCCTGAGGATCATCAAGTCCAGCCCCCTGCAAGGCAGGAATATGCAGCTGCCCCATACAGAGATCGAACTCTCAACCTTTGCATTATCGGCACCATGCTGTAACTAACAAGATGCATCTTCAGTTGCTGTGCATTCAGTGAGGCTTCTGATTCAACTCTCAAGTCCTTCACCATTCAAGGTGGTGTTGCCCTTTCTACTTTAAAGAATCTTTTGCACGAGGGAGAAACTGGGTTCAGAAGTCCGCACAAGGACATGCAATTCTCCATGCACAACCCTTCTTACTAAACTCCTAGTCAAGGAAGCGAGAGAACATGTAACCTTAACATCAGCCATCTGCAAACCTGGCAGCATGTGAGTCCATGCTGCTCGGGGGCAGGTCTTTTAAAATAGAGATTTGTTGCATATAACAGGGGTTCCTCCATCTATCCCTGTCCTTTCCTCTGGTTTGGTACCTAGTATGGCAAGGCAGTATGCCCACGTTACAGAGTTATGTTGATGTATCAGCCTCACTTTCATTTAAAAAAATATTTTTTATTGTTTTCTGTTACAACAGCAAACACCAACAAATGGAACATTTGTGTTATCGCATTCACAATATCAAATCAAGACAACCTTGCATTAAGGTTTTCTCCTTGTCTATGAATGTCTTGTTTTTTACACAGAGCTTGTGAAAAATCTGCTGCAGCTCCCCTCACTGCTGCTTGTGTGTAACAGTCAGCATTTTCTTTTCTGGGTGTTATCCTGCTTGCTCAGCGGTTCTCTTCTGTCTCGTGTCTTACTAACGTACATTTCATTCCTAAGTAAAAACTTGTGCCTGAGTTTGCTTGTTTCCTCCTTCCTCCCAATCCATTTTCCTTTGCCATCTAACACTGTAGCCATGAGGGTAGGCTCTTTTTAAAAAAATATATCTGTAAGCCACTTTGGGAACCTTTTTTAGTGGGATACATCTTTAAATAAATAGATTTTTCTAAGGCTCGTATTAGCCCAGCTGGAAGAGAGCTTGACCCACTTACTAGTATGTGCACTTACACCAATCATGCTTGCTTTACTAGTCGTCCAGTCCTTTGACCGCGGTGCATAATTTTTAAGAGATATGCTAGAGTTAAACTATACCTGGAAGTTTCATTTGCATATAGTGGAGGCCGGTCCACTGGGGGCAAGTGGGGCACTGCCCCACCAACCTCAGTCTCGATTCAGCCAGCCTGCCATCTTACTTACAACCAATGGGGGGGGGTCTGCTTGTCATTGGCTCTGGCTCCACTCACTGTTGGTCTTCCAACTTTCTGCCCTAACACTGCCATTGGGCACACCAGCCCACAACTACATGCATAATTTGGAAGCTCTTCTCCCTAATCCCAGATATTCTGGATTAATCCTTGTTCTTTGTAAAACAGCCCTTTGTCTGCACACTCAGAGGCAGTGAGAGGTTCTGTTTCCCACCTCCTTGCCCACTCTCCACAAATTGTGAAATGGTTTCAGATAATTGAAAGCTGCGCTGAAAATAAACTAGCATTAGTCTATCGGTCTCATTTTACAACCTGCTGGGCATTTCTTCCATGTACTAAAGGGATGGGGAAATGTAGCCAACTCAAATTAAACCGGCTGAACAATGATAATTTAAGAACTCTGTTCAAAAATAGAGAGCTGCATCAGTCTGAAGGATGTCATTGTAATTAGAGAACAACACACTCTAACCCTGTTACAGTGGTACACTGCAGCAAAAAGACAAGAGTAACAAAATCTACCTGAAATTCTGCACCAAGAAGGTTTCATTCAAAAACCAAAACAAATTATGCATATTTCTCATATAGAATCATAGAATGGGAAGGGATCGTAGCATTGGAAGGGACCACAAGCACCTTCTAGTCTAGCCTTAATTTACATTGTTTGTTTATAAAGTATTTCTGTACCACCATATAATAAAATATCAGGGTAGTTGGTGTTCAATGATAAAGTGTAAAGCACCATAAAAAATAATGCAATGTAGCTTTTTTCATTCAGAAAGCTGCACTATCTGGTCCAATTGGACCTTGGAAGTTAGAAATCCTGCTGAGTCTCTAATTATGGCAGTTTTACCAGGAATTCCTCATAAACTTGGAAGCCTACCAAGGCTGAGCCTCTTGAGTTTTGTACCCAATGCTGCATTCCGCATTTCTTATGACTGCATGGAACTGCAGAATATACACAGACCTAAGCTGAGGAATTAACTAAGGTTGTGTATGCGCTGCGCTGCTATTTACTCCAGTTCCAGTGTGCTCTCACTGAAGGGGTCTGAAGCCATGTGGCAGAGTTGGGTACTATGAGGCTCTGTGAGAGGCAACCCCCCCCCCCCAGCCCTTGTGCTGCCTTCCCAATGGCAGGGAAGGAGGTAGAAAGGCTCTGGCAGAGTGCTAGAGCCCTCCCACCCCATTCCCAAAGCTGGAAAAGCACTAACTAGGCTTTGGAAAGGAGGCAGAAGACCTCCAGGACTCTGTCAGAGCCCTTACACCTCCTTCCCAAAGCTGTGCACTTCCTGGGCTTTGAGATGGTGCTGCCTCAGCTCAGTGCATGTGCACCAGTCGCCCAGCCTTCTATCCACCTCTGGGTTAGCCGCAATGCATAGTTTCTTGAGAAACACTGCTGTTTGATGTGTCCCTCCTCAAACCAGCTTCCATCTGACATGAAAATGTCAGTTCGGCTGAGGTGTGTACATTTGAGGTAGCCACTGTGCATGTGTAGATCACAGCTGCATGAACAGAGGTTGCTTTGGAGGTGGGTTCAGGTGTGGGGAAAGCAAATGGGTAATATGCACCAGGCGAAGACATTCCCAACCCCTCTCTGGTGTGTACAGCAACATGCAAATGCCACTCGAAACTTGAGTGGAGGGAAATGACCTTGCTGTGTTTCAAACCGCTAATGTGCACATAGCCTAACAAGTAAAGAAGGAGACATCTCATATGCTTCCAGGCTGAATGTAGTTTAAAATTCAGAAAGAAAGACAGAATTTTAGAGGAAGGAAAATTTTCAATACTTACAAGGTGAGAGCAAAAAAAAGCATGTCCTAACAATGCCTGTGTGATTGGCATTGTATCCCACCGTGCATCAAATAGAGATCAAACCCGGACAGGCAATGAGGGTGTGTACAACGTCCAACAACTCACTCTCTATATATACATATATCACAAAACTGCACGGCCTGCTTGGACAAGTAATGGAATGTGGTTAAGCAAGGGGGGGGGAAGAGTCTTACATCCTCATCACAAACAATGGCA